GGGCCAAGACAACATTCACTCTCATATTAACCTCGGCGACAAAACCAGAGACTGTAAACAAAGATAAACAACACCGAAGCCAAAGTGTCACAATTGCCCCCTGGTGGCTGGCTGCGGTATAGGTTATAATCCCACCTCCTTCATGTTTGGGACAGCAGTGATGTAAATGTAGGTTGTTGTTGTCACGTTGTTGTTTGGCTTCATTTCTGGTCATTAGGAGGAAGTGGAGACACGTCGTCCATCTTTGAATCACAAAGAATAATCTGCACAACCTTCATCACCATTAACTTTCCTCATCTTCACAACCTTTATTGAGTGACTCATCAGCAAACTCATCTTCATCATCACTCTCTCTTTCACCATGGTGATCTCAGCCTCATCACCGTCACCATGGACACCATCTCTTCTCTGAACACCCCCCAACATGATCTTTAACAACAGTAACGGCTGATTATTTTTACCTCGCTTTGATTTATTGACCTCAAATGTAGGTTGCCGTGTTCGACTCCAGCTTCTGCTGACTGGACGTGGACGACTCACAGCAGCCATGTGGGAGCGCACATGAATATAACTATTGAACTTAAGTATAGTGCTCAGGGTGCGTGTACTCGTTCTACTATATCACTGGGGTCCAAAAACTCTGAGACTTTCTCGAGGGCGGGTTTAACCGTCTGTTCGAGGGTTAAGACCTGGTTTTAGGGATCAGAGGTGGAAGTAGGTTTAGTTTTGGGGGTCGGGGTCAAACATTCAGTTGTGATGACGATGGTTAAAGTAATGCATCGTGATGATCACAGGTCCCCACAAGTATAGATGTACAAGGACTGCGTGTGTGTGTTAAGAGGTTTTTAAAGAAGGCAGAGTCAGCAAACAGTGAGAGAGAGATAGAGAGGAGGGGGGGCGTCTCCCGGTACTAACTATCGGGGCTGGTGCNAAATAAAAAGTCATGCATGTTAAGTGGACGATGTGCTGTCCTGTCTCCAGTCAGAGCTTTCTGAAAGGCAAAGTTGTGATGATTTGTTTGATTATTAGATAAACTACTTGATGATGGAAAGAGCTGAAACTAAATTCTCTTTTTAATGAATTGAATTATTTCTTGACATAGGAGCATAGAGAAACAACTCAGTGTCTCTAGTAAGATCCCACATTTGGTGATTTGTGAGTGTAATGTTTAGACAGTGACACATGTGCTCTATGAACTTCACTATGAAGATGAATTACAAACAAAAAGCTTTCAAGAGAAGATAAGAGAAGCAACAGCTACAACGTTTGTTTGTTGGTTGGTTTGTATGTTTTTAAGCACGTTAACGAAAAAAAACAACTTGTCGGATCACCACGAAACTTAGAGGTCGGAGAAGAACCCATACATTTTGAGTGCAGATCTGAATCGAGGGTAGATTCAGGAACTTTCTATAACAGTGTGTTTTTAAACATTCTCACAGTTTTTCCAGGCAATAATACAGAGAGCATGATGAATATAAATTTATATCTGAGTGTGTGGAATTTGGTGCAGCTAGATTGAGTTTAAGGAGGCTGTTGGGCCTCAGCGGACGTATGAGCTCTACCGAGTGTCTTTCTAGTTACTAATGAGCATCTAGTGACTCTTGCTTTTGTGTGAGTTATCTCCCTGTGACACCAGCAGAGCTCAGTGCCTCAGTTCAGCAAGAGACATAAAGTAAAGAAGCCTTCGAACCAAAGATTAAGATTTCACAGTTTCACCGTAAACATCTTGAAGTCTTAGAACGAGACCCCATGCTTCTAGCTGCTCTGACCTTTGACGTCACTGAACAGAATAGACAATTCAGCTACAGACATGGATTCAGTGTCACATTTAACATTGAACTATTTATAATTCAGCCACATTATGATCTATACTGCAGGTTAGGACAATGTCTGCAATGTCCCATAGAATCAAACTGATTTTCTCCATGTCATAACAAATACAAAGACTTTTGTGAGTCATCAGATGAAGACCCTCACCACCAGGTGGTGGCCATAGACTTTGAAATAATACACTGAGTTCACTGATCACAGCTCAGAGACACTAAAACCTTCCCCTCTTCTCATCACCTGCTCTTACATATTGTATTTCTATTTGTAGAAACACATCGTTTTGTTTACCACTTCTTGAAAATTAAGTAAAGCAATAACCTGAAATACAAACTAGTAAATCTAAAGTGATGCTGAAGGATGCAGATGTGGCTTTGCTCTGTTGCTGTTTGATCTGTATTGAAGAATAAGGAGAAAGAAAACTGTTAAGAACTTTCCCAAACCTCTGGTGTGTATAAGTTAAATATATATGCATACATGTATATTCATGATTCACCTTGTAAAATCATGAATATAAAAATCTAAACATTTTTTTTTATTGTATTGTATTATTATTATTATTATTATTATCAGCAGTAGTAGTAGTAGTAGTAGTGTAGTAAATATTGGATGGTTGAGTTGTATCTTTAATCTCGTCTCTGCAATTGTTTTGAGTCTGTGTGCAAAAGACAAACAAACGTCTGCTTCCCTCTGATTTAAGTCACATCAGAACTTTAGCCTTCAGTCTGTCTGCAAAACAGGAAATCAGCATCGTAACACACTCATGACCACACGCAACAACACACAACATGAACCACACATGCACAACACTGACCCTCATGCACAAATTAAGACATCACATTCTGTATGAAGTCAACTCAAACAAACATCATACACTAGATACATAAATTACCCACAGTCCTGTGGATATTTTATATCATCCAGCTCTGGTTGATAAAAATACCTGTGAACACATGTACATATGTGAGTGAGCATATCAAATGAAATAAACATTAAAATATTTCTACTGATTTACAGTATGTGCAGATAATTTGAATCATTTCACTGTATTGTCTCAGTGGTTGTTACATGCAATATATTTACATGTTGAATTACCCACACATGCGTTTCTGAAAGTGAAATAAAGACAAAGAAACGTGGCAGTCAGACGTGAGAGTGTCACACCGATCATTATCTCTCTTTCTAACCCAGGGATCGAGGCAAATTGCTGGCGAGAGGTGACGGCTTCTTTGCGTTATCCCACCGGTAGCATCCATATTCTGCTCACTCAGAAATGAATGACTACAGTTAATAACAGAAAGGTTTGCCCCGTCTCTTCTCTCACAATGTGCCAAGAGTGCTGCGGTCATGAGGCAAGCTGGAGAGCAGAGGCAGAGATGGATCCACAGTAGCACAGCTTTTACTGTGCCCAGGTGTCTGAAACACAAGATCAGGGGCCTCATTTATAGACGGGTCGCACAACAGATTTGATTGAAAAGGAAATCCTTATTAATGTCTGTATTTAATAGACACACTGATCTGGTAAAAGGTGTCAGCTCTTCTGCAGAGCTGAGCCTGACGTGCACAGCTCTAAAGAAGTATAAGTATGGATGTAATATGCTGGAGATCATGTGCACATGAGGATTTACCTCAACGTCTTTGCTTTAATTTGACATTTAGAGCAGAACTATGCAACTTTTCTCATTTTTCCATTATCTTGTAATCGTCTCACTTTAAAGCAACACTATGTAATGTTTACTGAGCAACTGCGCCCTCTGCAGCCACACATGGTAATGAATTCTGTTAAACTCTGGAGCTCTGACTGTGTAGTCCCACTCACTGAGTTACTCTGTTTAGAATCCTGGATATTTAAAAATCATTAAACTGGAGATAAATGCTGGTTTTTCATAACTTCTAAATCTATTTCCATACTTCAATGTTTATGTTTAAAACGAATCAGCTCTGCTATGGATCCTCCTGGCGTCCACACAACTTTTGTTTTAGAGACTCTGAAATGGAGAAGTGTGGAAATGCTGCTGCTCCAGTTTTAGGGCTGCAGTGCAGAAATGAAGACCCTCTTCCGTAGAAAACTCCTGGCATTAGCCTACTGGCTTTGGCTCCCAGTGTAGAACTCAACATGGAGCACAATATCATTGACTGTCTAAGAAAAGAAATCCATTCCATTGCTGCATCTTGTTTGTGGCGTCGCTCTTTCTGCAACTAAATGCAACCGAATACTTCCTGTACCCAGTGGCACGCACATGCCCAGGGTAAATGAGTGGCCATGTGATGTGGATTTTCAGGCATGTTAGTATGAACGGGGATTAAAACTGATTGTTTTAGTATGAATGTGTTTCCAACTGAGCTAGAATTCAGCATTACTCTTGAACTTGCTGGACCTGGTTCTGTCAGTTACCTCAGTGAACCATCAGCTCATTCTGAAGCTGCTATTTTAAGGAAAAAAAGTTGCATAGTGTTGCTTTAAGGTCTGAATGTGTCATAGATACATGAAGCATAAATTCATTATGAAGAATCGTTTTAAAACAAATGTGCGATGTAAATCAAATCTGCTTGCACAAATGGAGCCCCCGGTCACATCTTACACTCTACTACTGCAGGGTTTACCAGGTCAGGGTTGCCATGGAAAGACTTTGACTGGCCTTAGGGTCAAGACCAACCAAAGATTTCTGTCAGTATTACTCTGGATTTCGGTGAGAGGATGTTGGACAAAAAAAAAAGTTTGGACCGTTAGTTTTCACTCTGTCATTAGAATTCTCACGTTTGCCTGTGATGCTTAGTCCCCTCAAGACAACGCTGTTTCCCGTGCCTAACGCCCATTCGGCTGATTGGAGAGTGCATACATCGCTCAGCTTACAGATGCTAATGGTGTGGAATTCAATCACTGTAATCCCTCTGGCAGTATTTTAAAAACCTCAGATAGATAGGAAGCTTTAACGTTGGCCTGTAGATATAAAAAACAGATGTGAAGCTGGTTTCTGTCTTTCATAACCACAGGTCAAAAACACAGAAACAACTGTCACAATATTTAACTCCTCATATCCAGTTCTCTAATATTATTTCTACACATTATTGTCTTTTTTCTTCTCCATTAGCCAAGTGAAGGGTTCCCAGTTGATCACAGTTGCACCTTAAAAATTTAGCAGTAGCTTGTTTACATGTATTTGGCCCAGAGACTATAGAGTCAGTGACGACAGCCTTGCCGATTACTCTGTTCTAGGATACCCGACTTTGGTGACATTGAGGCTGACCTTAGAGTCACCTCCCCCGCTGCCGCACTCTCCCTTGTCGTACCACCATTTGTTTTTCAATTTGTCCAAGAGGCCTTGCTCATTCAGTTTTAACACTGCCAGGTTAACAGCATTTCTTGAAACGATAAAACATAACTTGTAAGAAAATGAACAGGTCCGTGAGAAATCTAATATAGAATATTAGTAAAGAATAGTGATAGATATCAATGGTTCAGAAGGGGAGCACGGGAGGGACAAATTGGTAAAGAATTTCACTGGTGTGGGAGGGTAAGAAGCATTTTTACAGCAAAGAAAACGTCAAATATTAGAGAGGTGGTGGCATGGAGGGTTACATTGCTCGTAACTGAAGTGTGCGGGATGGGGACATTCTGTCGTCGTTGAATTAGAAATAAGAACATCCAGCATGCAGCTTAACATTCATCACAACTGACACAGCAGCATTTTAACCAGCAAATGAATAAGGAAAGAAATCTTTCAGTGTTGAATCAGAAGCAATGCAAAAGAGCACCACACAGATCAAGTGGGGAGGTTGAAGGGAGAAGAGCAAAATAAACAAGACTGGGGAAGGTGACAGTGCACAACGACATTCAAATGGAGAGACTGCACGAGACTGGTGCACCAAAAGCCTTGGGAGGAAGAAGAAAGTAACGAGGACACAAACCAGATAAATAGGACAGAACAGAAAATGGCTGAACATGTCGATACAATTCAAATAACTCAAAATACTGTTCACTCATTGATGCATTGGAAAAAAAAGAAGAATTAAAGGAGTGAGGGAGAAGAGAATGACAAAAGGAAACATCAGGGTAGGTGGAATACTATAACAACATGGAGGATATTGTTATATTATCCCACCCACCTTAATGCAGAGCCTTTAGGTGTGGCCACGCCATAGCCCTTAGAGTCGAGGTTCCCGCCCACTTTCATGGTGTCGCACGGCTTCCGCTGCTCTATGTACTCGTTCATAGTGGACTCGAGCAGAAAGGCGAACTTGCCCTTCGACTTTCGTACCCGGGAAACCCCGTCTGGTGTTGTCTTGGCAAACACTGAGGGTTCTGCCGATTTCATGTAAGACCACATTTTCTCATAAACTGCTATTTTGGAGCGCTGCATTAGAGGACAAAGAGAGAAGACAGAGACAGTTTAGTTATGCATAAATAAAACATCAACAGTCATGACAATGTTCATAATGAGCCGCTGTGGGTTTGAGTAAAAGCAGAAGTTAGACATTTATATAGGTTTAGAACTGGAGCCTGGGGGCGACTTCCTTAGCTGAAGTACTATAGAGAATTTATTGTGGTGGGAAGCAAGGCTGAATCTAAATGTTATTTGATGGATATTTTTTTTAAATAATATTTTATTTGTACATTTTCCTTGTCGTTCAAAAACAATTTCAATCTTTAATTTGCATGTTGTGTACTTGGGTAATCCATACAAAAAATGATGTCTTCATGTTAAGCCAACATAATAAAGTTCCTGCTAAAGGCCCATACTTAATAGTGCTGTCACCGTTTTTATCTAAAATTCAAACATTCATTACAACGTGGGGGGAAAAGTTCATATTCCAACTATAATAGTCGAGAAGCACGTCGGAAGTAGTTTGCCTCCTGATCCAACAGAGGGCGCTCACCATCGGCATGCCCTCTTTACCCATCAGTAAAGTGAGCCAATGTTATATCACTTGTCCTGAGCAGACAATCACTACAACGAGGCATCTGAGAAGCCTTGGTGCTTTAGGTTCTGCAAAAACAAAACGTCCATGCCCGACTGCTCTGGCGCACATTTAAAAAAAAATATATGGCTGTCCTGGTGTGATCTCTGTGGATCTTCAACTTAGGTCAGCCCTCCTTGTCATGTCCAGCCATGCTGCCACCGTTAAGCAGGGCAGTGATTAGTCAACTGGAGTTAGCTGCTCTGAATTAGAAGAGGGGGAGGAGGTATTCAAAATAAATCAGATCGAATTGTGTCAAATTCATTCAAACTTCTTGGAAAATTGACAGGCCTAATACTTTATAAAAAGACGTGTGAGTGGAATCAACCTCAGTGAGAAAGCAAATATTTCCTCAATTTCCTACTATTCCTTTAAATCAACTCCGAGTCACACAGGAAAAAAACAAAACTGCATCAGCCGCAGTGCTCCATTGTCACGTCCCAGTCAGTGACATGACGGCAGATGTTCTCATTCATGAAAGCACCTGCTGTGACACCGCTTACGTGCGATGTGCTCTGACGTCTCACAGGGGGCAGCGCTGATGCTCTCAGCAGTTCAGAGTAGATTCACCCTTAAATGCAAACAGTGCAGCAGAGGTAGTGGGCCTTTTGCCAGCAGCCTGAAGTCTGACAATCTGGCAGCTCAGCAGAAGCAAACTGCCGACCATGTTTGGTATCAATATTAACACACAGCCCTGACCTCCTCCTTCTCCTCTTCCTCCTCCTCCTCCTCAGTTTGTGCTCCTACCAGGAGCAGCAATCAATCATCAGGGTTTGATTTTGAATAATAATCAAATCAGTCCTTTTACAGATCCACGTGATCACTGCATCCGATCTGACGCTTGTGTCACTTCTAAATGTGTCAAACGGTTTGTTTACAGTGACCTGTTGTGCAGCATGATGCTACAACAGCTTGATAAATATAACGAGTGAAGACACTGACAGACACGTCACTGTCGGGTGTTAGCTGAATACGAAACTGGAACTACAAGCTTTCACACACATTCCTCTGTGGAAGTCACTGATGCAACCACATCCCTTTCATGCTTGTATCCTAGCGTCGAACAATCTGTCATTAGATAGTACTGACTCAAATTATACAGGTTAGTAAACCTGTATATTATAGCTAGTTTTGTTCAGTATTCAGTTTGTCAGATTTAAAGGGATCTATTGGCAGAAATTGAGCATAAAATAATCCTTGTGATGTTTTCACTAGTGTGTTTTATCTGAAGGCTACCACTGGTTCTCTTTTATGTTTGGAAGGGGAAGGTGAGGTGAAGCATATTCTATACACACTGAACCTTAATGTGTACTAAATAAAGATTTTTCTTTAATATGTTATTGTTATGGCCATGGAGATCACATGGAGATCAGTATCCAGGTCACATGTTCTCCAGCTCATCAGGAGCAATGAGATGCACATGGGACCTCCCTCAGCTGGTGGATGGGAGGGTATTTAAGGAGGTTTGGTTTCCTTGTTCAGTTGGTTGTTTGCTGTCAGAGGGTCAACACCTTCAGTTGCTTCTCTGAGTTTGTGTTGTTGGATTTGTATTGTTGGTTTTTCTTATCCTAAGAGTTTGTCATTTTATTGTCACCCCCTTTTTCTCTTTTGGTTAAGAGTTCAGTTCTGTTCTTTGTTATTGACAGATTTAGTGGGTGACAGTTGGGAACTATATTCCCATCGTTACCTTTTAGCACCTAAGCACTCATTTTGTTAGTTTTGTGGCAGTGTTTTGTTAGTTTCCCCAACAGCGGCCCCTGTGTAGCAGGTTTTGTTTTTCTTGGAGGGAAATGATATACATATATATATATTTTTCATTCTACATGGTAATATATTGCATATATTTCAGCATATTATGTTTTAGGGAAAAGTGGAACTTTAACAAGTATATATGATCTATTAATATATCTCCATCTGTCAGTAGTGGCTGACTTAGTATTTTTCTAAATCAGGGGCCATAAAGGGTCAACGATTTACACAGAGGGGCCAATTATATGTCCAACATCCATGCACAATTCCTCATTCAATAAGATGCTTATCATTGACTATCAACTTAAAAAAAAGACCACTGACAGGACAGAGGCCAATCAGATTTCAGCGTGGGATCAGTGCGTGATGGCACCTTCTTTAACACGTTGGACCTGCTCGCCCCAGGACTGTCGGGCTTCACCTCAGTGGCCCAGTCTGCTGCCAGCTGGAGCAGCTACAGACATACACAGCACAGCCCTGCTCTGACACTCAGTACGCTGCTAAAAATGGCCAGCGAGAGGCTGATCGCCAGCCGCCAGGGAGCTGGAGTACACAGCTGTCTACAATAGGAGGGGGGGAAAGAGACAGATCAAGAATCTGCTTTAAATTGGGCTCATGTTACCTTCTATTCTTAAGTTGAAAATGGAGAAGCATCTTAGAGGGAACTTTCATATTTGCACATGTATTCAAGCAGCTGCTGGTCAGGTTTATTGTGATGGGACAACAGCCAGCTTCATAATCTGACTTAGAGAAAAGAAGCATCTGACGTCTGGAGCAAGTTCTTAGAGAAAATCAGATTTTGTATTTACCAAATGGATTTTACTTGATTGATTTTTGCTTTTACTTTCTTTTATCTTTTTCTTTAACCTTTACTTTAAATTATCTTCCAATTTTTAATCTGTTCTCTTTGATTTTAGATTTTGTATTATATCATTTATTGTCCTTGATTTTAAATGTAATTGTATAAAGTTGCTCCTTTTCTTCCATGTTTAGTTTTCTTGGTTTTTATTTGTCCTGTTCGTAAAGCAAAGTAACGGCTGTTTTGAAAGGTGCTACTTAAATAATAATAAAATAATTATTATGTCATGTAATAATGGTAGTAACAACTTGTAATACACAACACACTGTTACTAGAAAATACTCTGTGTTCATGGCATGTTAAATGATTTGAGTTGAACTGGAGACTGTTGTATGTTTTTACTCTAATGTTTATAGCATTTACTATAGAGGAATCAAGGCTGAGTATCAAGCTTTGTCCAGGTTGTGCGTTCAGCGTCCGTGTGAGTCAGTCCCACATTACGTCTGGTAGGTGAAAGTAACAGAAAACATGGGAGCAAACTGGGCAACTCTGTCAGCCCAGTGTTGTGTACTGCAACATAAATAATTCACCACAGATGTAATGGATTGTGGGCTCGGGCTAGTGAGTGAATCATTCTTGACATATGCACAATTTCAGTTCAGTCGAGTGTTCATGTAAACACTCTTAACGTGACAATAATAGCTGATGACAGGCTGGGACATAGTGTGAAAACAGCAGTTCTTTTGAGGGTTACATGAACATGCATGTTTGTCGGCAGCAGGTTGATCCCCACTGTTGAAATCTGTGAAACCCCATCATGCTGTCAGGCTGATATACCCACTGGGAAATCTCCTCACTACAGCAGTGGTGGTTTAACAACGTCTGATTATTCAACATGTTATCCGCTGTTTTCTGTATGATTCAGGTCATATCCTGAGGTCAGTGAGGAATCTGACGTCACATCTTCCATTGTGGAAACAAACTGGTTTAAACCAGGATTCTTCCAGGTACCGGTTTATCTGACCACAGTCAACTGAAGAGCGGAGAGTTATTTAACCCAAACACTGAGACAACAGACTAAAAAATGCATGTGCAACTTTATCTACATGCAAAATCTAAGTTAGGTTCATGTTGAAGTAATTAAACTTATATGTTCATGATCAGTGGAAACAAATTAATAAAATCGCTAAAGAAACAACATTATTTAATGTATAGCACAAAACCAAACAGCATTTGTGTGTTAGTATCAGCAGCTTATTGAAAGTTATTCATGTATCAAAATGCAACTTTACTGCAGTTAGAGGCAAGTTAACTTTAAGGAATATGCAAGAAATGCAAAATGAGGATTATATGTTTATTTCTAAGGAATAGTTTGATGTTTTGCAGTTCAGCCTATTTGCCGTCTTGCTGAGATTTATATGACAATATAATACCATCTGTATATTTAATATGAAGATCAGGAGACAATTAGCTAAGCTTAGCATGGAGATTGGGCACTGTCCAAATACACAGAAGGCCTAATAATAATAATGAATAAAGATATTTCAACTGTTTTTGTGGTGAACGTCAGATTTGTGAATTTAAAATTTTCAAACTATCAGTCCAATACTTTGCAGGGCTCAGCAGCTTGAGGACAGAGTGTGTTTTTAAATGAAGCTTTAATGTCATGAAGCCATTAAAATGACTGTGTTAGACATCATTATAGGTTACGAGCTCTAAGGAGGCTGTGTGACCTGAATCAGATGATGCATCCTCTCTGAAGATCACTGCAAAAAGCGATCCTATCACTGCATTTCAATAACCGTTGCTCAGAATGAATCCTGTGCACTGACATTTCCAGTCTGGATTGAGGAAAAGCAGAATATTTGTCACTCAGGATGAGGTAACTACACGCCTGTCAATTATCTGCTCAGGACGACCTTAGACAAACAACTGCATGCCAAACACGTCCGGGATTAGCAGTGCTGCTTAAGGATCTGCTTTTAACGTACTGATGATTCACCACGAAGCCTCTCAAATAACTATTCTGATATGTTGCAGCAATTCTTTAATTCCGGTACATAAATAAAGCCTGAGATGATACACGTCTTATTCCCCTACATTATCCTCTTATTAACTGTATCACCTCTTGTATAATACTCATTATTGATTAAAGTGCTAACAGGGGTATTTAAACAAAGTGAAACTGGCGAATATCTCAACAAACTTTAGTGTCTAGTTTAATGCCACATCTGTTGTCGGTCCCTCGAGTCATATCAACAGAGCCGCTCCTACAGGTCTAGTGTGAATTACTGCAGAGGAGAAGAGGAGTATACCAGCAAAGAATCTTTGTACACACCTAAATCTCCGAAACAGATCGTGTTGGTGGGATATTTTTAATAATCAATGGTAACTAATGATTACTCTTCTCTTTGCAGAATAAAATCGTTTCACGGCGACTGCTCTACCTCAGTTTAGCTTCAATTCAGCAGATCATTCTGCTCCAACGCCTTTAGATGGTAAATAAGTTGGGTCACAGAAACAATTCACACGTCTCTACTTAGTCACTTTCCTGCAACATCAGTCCCTTCCACTTTTAAGCACAAAAAACTAAGATTTTTTTTTTTGCCTTTTCTCTGAAAGCATGCTTTACTTTGATCATGTTTGACATACTCTGTGTTAAAAAGAAAGCTCTCTCTTGCCAGCAGCAAGAGTGGAAAAAAGTAAATCTAATAGAAACACATTATCCTCACTGTATTTCATCATATTTGCATTAACTGATCTCAGGAGAGTGTCAGATGTGAGTGCTAAGGCAGTGTCTGAATCCAACAAACCACACTGATCACTCCCAAATCTTAATGTCTCCAACACCACAGCAATCACTCCCAGAGACTGAGCAGGACTAAAAATAGGCACAGCCCAGAGCTGGACATTGGACGTGAATGACATTTCCATTTCCGAGGAATAGGACGTCTACTTTGAGATTACAGTTTTTTTAAAGGAGGCCCACAAATTGGAACTATAATGACAACTTGCACTTCTTCTCTGAAGTTCTTTTCCCCCCTAAATTTTCACAACACATAACGAACAAATCTGACAATCAGATTGTTTCCTCTCACTTTGTTCTTTATAGATCGCTAAACAAATCAGGTGGAAGATGTGGGGGACTATTCAGAGGCAGAGGCAGAACTACAGCATCACAAGTTGACGTAAAAACAATGGAAACATAAGTATTACAGTAATTAATTTATCAAAGACAGAGTATTGCACAATCTGTCACCTGCTTTTTAACAGGCCAACACTGACTGTTGAGTTATTATTGGTGCTTTAAGACTGAAGCTTTATTTATTTGAATGCATGACATGATTATGCCCTCTCTGATTAGGGCTGGGAACACAACAATATAAATTACTATCACAATATAATATTCATCAATAACTATATAACAAAAGTCCAGTACATATTAATATAATGTTAATAAGCTGTACAAACACAGTGAGGAGGTAAAACACATATTTGATCTCTGCTCATGAAGATGAGTATAAAACCACAACCTTTACTCAGGAGCAAAAATGAGTCTTTAAACTTAGAAATAAATAACATTGTGGCATTTATCCTGAAAATTATAGATATTGAGTGATTAAATTATCTTAATATAATGTAAGCTATATCTTCCAGCCCTTTGTGTGATCTTGAGCTCATCTTGCAATGGGAGCACTTCACAGTTGTGAGGACAGAAATGAATCGACATAATAGTGGAGGTGCAGTGAGGCTGATCAGTTTGGTCTATGGTTGGGAGCAGAGGTGTAATTGCAAAGCTGAGTTATTTCTGTTGCCACAAGTGCACAGTTGGAAAAGAAAAACTTTACATTTTGAACGTTGTGAATTTGCAACCAGGCTGATCAGTAATTCCTCAATGTAGGAATTATTTGTTCTCTTCTGACACTTAAAAATGTGGTTATCTTCACTTTCGATTCCAAAGAAACGCCTTTTTAAAGGAAGGCATGTCATTTCCTTTTAGCGTTTTACTTACTCAGTAATTCCTCTTTTATAAAACACTGTGCACTGGTGTTATGATGTGCTGAATTCATCAATTTAAGTTTTAGTATTAGTACTTTGGAAGTGCTGTATCAGGGAAAAAAATACAATTCTAGAAACTGTTATTGATTATTCATACAATGTATTACCTGGCAGGTACAAGACCCACGGAGGAGCTCCTGAGACGTACTTGGCTCTGTGCTTGTGGCCAAAATTAACTACAGTTTGAACAGCTCTGGTTCTGCAGTGCAGCGACAGCATGGACGTTAGCCATGTGAGACACTCACCCTAAAGAACTCTTTAGTGGAGCCTGAGTCTAACGTCCCGTAGGCGATCTCCGTCTGCTTGGCCAAATCCTCTGCGCTCTCGATCGGAGAGACCATCCTCTCCACGGTGAGGAAGGCAGCCAGGTTGGCCGTGTAGGAGGAGATGATGATGAGGGTGAAGAACCACCACACTCCTCCGACGATGCGCCCGGACAGAGACCTGTGAGGAGGAGATAAAGCAGAGAGACATGAGAGCAGTGTGCTCAAATCTACATGTGGAGGGGAAAGAGGATCATTGTCCACTGTGGCTCCAGTGTTTGGCACGTCTGCGGAGAAGCACAATAATGCTCCACATATTTTCATAAATCAAGAATTAACTACAGCTGATTAAATCTTTAAACTTAATAATAAGCCTCATTAGCTCATTATAACTGTGTCCACTGTGTAGTTTTGGAACTAATTTACGTGAATAACCAGCCCAAATAGCCAAAAATGTTCAGCCCTACAGCCTAAATCCAGCAGTGTGCACACTCATGCCAGAATCTGTGCAAGATAATTTGGGTTATTTCCAGGGACAGCAGAGTCCTGCTACACAGTGGATATTTCTCATCTTTAGTGAAATAAATCCAGGCCCTGATCTTTACCTCAACGTTGCCAAGTAACTGTATAAGCATTTTCTTGCCAGTTTATCTACTTGTGGTCTCTGCTTCAGCCAATGTTTGATGTTGGAGTGGAGGCATTTGTTCAAGTGTTTGATCCATTTATTCTGTTGTACGTAACACTCTCCACCACAAATTTAGTCTGCGGGGAATCCAACAACACTGAAGTCGGAGCACCACGAGAATCACTCAACTCTTTCCAGTTTTCACCTCAGTGAAAAGGATCAGACTTCAAATCTGATCTTCACAAATCAGTCCTGGGTTCAGATCTTTAAATTTGACAAATCTCTGTTGCGCCGTCCCCATCGTCAACAATCCCATACTCCACTGAAAGTTAAAGCTAGAGTGGGAAAAGCTAGCAAGAGCAGGCCACACCACATTGGCCCTATCGTCAAAACCACACCCCCAAAACACGTAAACATGCACAGCGTGACAGCTGCTGGAAGCCGACTTCTCCGTAACTCACTCACTTACTTCTGACAATAGTCTCTGCATCAGCTTCAGAGCACTGGCAGGGTGCAGGCAGGCTGGTCGGTTAGTGTCAGAGCTTATGCATTTATTTATGCTATTCATTTGACACTTTTAATTTCTAAACATTTTGCTCTGTCACTCAGTTGTGTTCAAAATCTTTACTATGAGAGTTTTTCTTGGCAGATTCCTGATCTGAAAATAAGAGGGATAATCATCTAAAAGGTCAATTTAAGGTCAGTTTACCAGACTTGAGTTGGTCAAACCATGATTTAGCAGGAGGCAAAATTATAGCCACAATAAAGCACTGGAGTTTTCAGGAGGAAATGTCATTAGGGTGTGAAAAGACACACTTCCTCCTCTGGTGATTAAATCAACCTGGAAACAGCTTCTCTCGGTTTAGCTGTAGTTGTGCTGGAGAGGAAAAAGTAAACACTCAGCAGTTTCTTTAGTGCGAGAGTAAGAGCCCCTATTTGCTGCCTAATTGATTATTTTCACTGTTTTACACAAATTCACATTCAGCTTTTCCAGAGGCTGCTTCCTCTGTGCTTCTTCATAGATCCCACTCACGTTATGTTCAACTACAGACCTGGGAACGTGAGCTCATACTGAGCCTTTGGCATCAAGTCTATAACTGTCAGGTGCATCTCTGTCTAATCTCTCTCTAATTGTGGGAATTAGAAACCATCATCCATCTTAACACTTTAGGCTTCAGTGGATAAAGGTGTTTTTTTTTTACAATTGAGTAGATTTTTGTTGTTTTCCCCTGAAAAAAATAAAAAATAAAATACAATTTCTCGTCATATTTCCCAGCAGCACATCAATCAATTTAATCAAAATCAGTGCAAGAACCAGCATATCTACATTCTTTGAAAGTCCCTGAAAACAGGGTATGGGAGGTGGGAAGAAGAGATCACGGGCACCACAGCAGCGATGAGTGAAGAGATGGAGAGATGAACCAATAAATGCGGTGACATGTTGGTGGCAGTTATGGTCCTGATGATGGGTTTTCTAAACAAAATATATTATATGCACCAGGTTGATGAGCGTAAAATGGGACATGCAGCAAAAACACGGTAGCCCTCCAAGAGTCACAAGGAGTTCAGGCAGCTACTTTGAATGAAGTGTAATGATCCTGTGCATTTTACAGCCCTCAGCATGGTGGATATAAGTTATTTTGTGGATGCAAAGCATCACTGCCAGCATGCAGCTTTACAAAAAAATAAAATAAAAATAACAGATGGATGTACAGTAGCGAGATGTTTTTTATGGGAGAAAAGTGCAGTGAAGTGAAGCTTGAGGGCAGGTGGAGTATTAGCATAGCTCAAAATAACCTATATGCACCATGGCAGGATGGAAATGAATGTTTGGGACCATAAAATGCAGAGAGATGGCGAGGACAACTGAGAGCTGGTGAGGAATGAATGCAACAACCAACCTTGGCGAGATATCGCATCCTTGCTGCATGAAGGCGCCCAGGGAGAACCACAGGCTATTAAAAATCCCAAAGTCGTTCGGAGGGTCTGGGGGGCTCTGAGGGTCTTTGGCCTCATCGTTCTCGTCCAGATGCCACTCATATGGGCTGAAACGGCTCACCAGGAAGAGCACCACACTCACGCCAATATAGGCAAAGACTATACACATCCAAATCTCATAGGCCAGCGGGTCCAGGAAGGAAAACACCCCAGGCTTGGACTTTTGAGGCTTCTTAATCATAATGGAGATGCCCAGGCTCATGAAGGGCTTAGAGAAGTCTATCACTTCCTCCCGCACCAGTGTTATAGTTAGAGGAGCCACGGCTATGTCAGCTCTCTGTGGAGATGGGAACATGCACAGTGGAGGTTAGAGAAGAAATCATAAAATAACAACCTCGGTTAAATATTGCTTTAATAAAGGAAATACTGATGAATCTGAAGTCGAACCTATAACCAGGCCTTTTAATAAGTCATGGCTGAGCACTCGGCTTTAAAGTGAAGTCATGGAATAAAGAGTTGGAAATTCAGTAGTTCAGAATAGACTGAGAAACGGACCAGTGATGATGCCAGTGAGAGCGAGAAGCTGCCATTTAGAAAATGAGTCACTCAGCTATTGCGTTGGCTAATGTCTTTGTCTCCATCCAAATCTCCTCCATGAATCAAGCGGGAGGGTTGGCAGACAGAGGTGGAGGAGATTGTGTAGGGAGTCCATGAAATGTGAATCAGGCGTCATCAGATCCTCTGCGACGCCTGACGGGTTCATTAATAAGTATCTCACTGCAGTGACAAACGCTCGCAGTGAGGGGGAGAGCTATTGTAACAGTGCCACAACAGAAATATTTAACCTAGATGATTCATATATTAGATTAGGAGTGGTCTCTCCATCGAATGCCCATTAGTTATTCTTCTATGAGATCATTTACATTTGAAAGGCTAATCAATACAAAGTGATCCTAGATGCAGGAACACAACTGAGGGCTTGTCATAGCAATTTCACTCACTACAGAAGGTCATCTCCATCCATCTAAGATATTAATGCTGGTTTAATCAGGACCACATGCACAGACCTCAGGTGTCAGACTGAGTAATCTGCACCGGGGCTCTGTTTGCATGCAGATTTGTTTTGGACTCCAGTCTGCTGATTCTTTAGCATTATTCATTCAGCAGCTGAGGTCTCATAAAAGATGCAAATCATCTTGTTAAAGCCAGTTCGAGTGTGCGTGAGCCGCAGGACGGATGATAAAACCAGGCAAGGTGATTTTACAGTTGAAGAGGAAGAGCTCTTCAAAACTCATTAAGTTCACTCGAACCAAATATCAACAATTTCCATTTCACTGGTTTAAATGAGGTGTTTTTAAGTTTTTACATGACTGATTGTCACAATTATATCTGAATGATCAGGTTTCTAAAAACAACTGCTTTCACATTTAAAGAATCAGATTCTCTTTGTTGAAAAGATAAAAACCCCATAATATTTTAGATATTTTATACAGAAATATGAATTTGGTAATACATTTCGAATACATATAGCCTGATATAAATGAAAAATGTTAATGATTCCTAAGATGTTATTTTCAAACCCCTGACAAAAAAAGTTGAAATAACCTACTGATACCTTAGTATTAATTATACCATTTTAGTACAGGACAAGATGATATATATCACTTGTATGTGAGCAATTTGTATTTTGTTAGTAACTGTATTGCACTTAAATAAATACACTTGAAAAGTAATTGAGGACTGATATTTTTCAGTACATTCATAAACCTTAGTATAAATTACTCAAAATAAAACACATGACTAAATATAAAGAACCTTAATTAAGAAAATAACATAATTGTGTCTTATGTAAAGTAAAAATAAACAAATCCTCATATTTTCTACATTTATTATTCTAAGTTTATTCCATGAAATCAAATTTGAATACTGGCAAACATCCACCTGATGAAGGCTGAACAAGCAACACCGTCAGACTGACACTCACCCCATAAACCAGTTCTCCCACCATGCCGTTCCACGTCTTGGTCTCTGGGTCTCTGGCGCCGTACTTGCCATCGGGGACTACTGACAGCTTATATCTTATCCCCACATGTTTTGCAATTTCAGAAGCTAAATCGACACAGTAGCCTTCATATCTGTCATTCCCCTCCATCTGCATATAGTTTTTCTTGTACATCACATACGGAGCTTCCTGTTAATTAGACATAAGTTTGAGTTCACAGTAAAGAATGCACACATCCACAGTGGCCAGACCTCATGGGTCATGGGCCTCGATCGGTGCTGTAGCATGCACACATGCGGGGGACGACAAACAAACACATGGGGGGGAGCACAAAGACGAACAGAGCAGAGATTAAACATCATCTACACAGCATCAGTTACAGGGAGGCTGCTGTGGGACTAAAAAAGCTGCTGGAGTGAAGAGGCTGATTGGGCCAGTGGGAGGAGCTGAAGCGTCTAACACATATAAAAAGAAGGCAAAGCAGGACATCAGGGCTCCCTCATGCTGTCCTGGTCCAAAATCTAAATCTGTGGAAATGGGCGACAGACGGGGATGGGGGCGGTGGGGTGGGAAGGTTGCATGTGCTTTGCATCAGCTTCACACGAGGGGAAGGACAAGTCGAATGGCGCACTTTTCCAGTTCATAAAGTAAAGGTCAGTGACAGCAGAGGGATTAAAGACATCAAGACCATGGAGATTCATTCATTTATGTAACAAATAGTTAAGGTTCAAAACGGACCAGATAAAATACCACACTGACTCAATTTGCTTTTCATTTCTTCTTTTGTGACAATTAAATAATCTGCATGTGTTGTTTCCTTCTTTGCATCATCTCTGTGCTTAGGATTTCATAAATAATGTTGTGTATTTCCTTTAACGTTTAAAACATGTTTGCTATTTCCTTTAGATGAACTGATGTCATCTTCGGGGTCGTCAGCAAAGGTTATTTGGTTTGTCGTGCGGCATGTACATGTTTTTCAGAGGTATAGTTGACCTGCCATAGAAGTCGTCCTCAGTGGACACTGTAACCTGACGCTTCATCTATATCCAACAGTCTTTACTCATTGTTTGAACTAGACGTTCTGTTCTGCTGTGAAGTCATGTACGATGTTGTAAAAGATAAAATGAAAGATTCACACTCTATAATAATAATAATAGGGTGGCCTTTCATTAAATTAACTTGTTCTTTAAAGTTACAGAACATAAGAAAAGATGAAGTTAATGAGATGATGCTTCTAAAATAACAGTTGCATGCCTGGCAGTGAGGAAATAATGTAAAGACACAACTCTGTTTTTCTTCCCTCGCTCTGTACACTGCCTTATTTCTGCTCTGCTCATGAGGATAATGAGTTTCTAAACATTGAAATGAGGATGTGTGACTATTACATTCTGAATTTGTCTAAGATGAAAACATAATAGGCAAAGTCAGAAGGAACGAGAGGCCAAGGTTTTAAATGTAAGATAAGGAGCACCTTATTGTACATTTAAAAATGGCTGATGATTACTAACCAGTCACTAACTGTCTGTAACAAGCCTAATTAACACTTTGTCTAAAACTGGCCCTGACAAACTGGGAGAAATCTCATGGTACAAACTTTTAGGTAAAGTGAGTTAAATTTGAACAAAGAGATAAACAGCCAGAGGTATGACGCCTTTGATTGTTCATGTCATCCCCGTGCGCAGATAATTTCACGTCTCTGTGAAGCGAGACACTGATTTGACTCATCCGTCCCCAGCGTCACTGACATTTTACTTAATGAGAGGGAAACACTTTTACTTACGTATGTACTGAATGTGAATACAATGGTGTCTACGGCTACAGTTATCATTACCAAAGCCGTTATTGTGATGTCACTACTACAACAGCCCACTGGAATATAAAAAAACCAAAATGCTTTGGCACCCACACGGATACAGTTGAAACACTCTTTGTGATTCGACTGTTTCAACATGTAGTGAGTGGATGGAAAGCAACTGAAAATAAAATAGTTCTACCCTCCCAGGACAGATTGCAACAATGGACACCTTGACCTTGAGTGGCAGAAATCTTAAGGTGAGACATTTAAAACCTGCTTGAGAGTGTACCATAATAGTAGTGACCACAATTGTTCGGTTTTCCACAGAAGAGGACTCGTTGGTGACCTGCTGATCCATTATATATACAAATTTTTCGTACTCATTCCAGTAGCCGATCTGAAAACGACACAAAGGTTCACAGTTATAACAAGAAGCAGAAAGACATTTATGTTTTCAGTAGAGCGTAGCATAACCCAACATGTGACATTTTTTACATTTAAAAGAAAAACATTGTAGTGGTGGTTCTCACTTAACCTGAGCTACACTTGAGCAGAGTAGGAGTAATCTATTCCTGGCTTAGCAAATGTTCTCTTACATAAGAGCAAAGCTGCATCAGTGGATACTCGAAGGCTGATAAAATTAAAAAACAGCAAGACAAAACCTAAAAAGTACAGGTGTGCCTTATATAGTCTGTGCAATATGTAGCTCTACTGTTCTATTAATACTACACATAACAAACACAGTGTAATCTAACATAAAAATGATCTCTGGCCTGTGTCTGCTGAGATGATTCCATCGCTGCCTTGTGTTTATTTGTGTTACCACTGTTGTATTCAGCCAAGAAGAAATCCACCACTACAACACACAGTACTCACTCACTGTTGTCACTGCAGATTGTCTCAGTTTGGATTTGAGGGGGCCGCTGTGATGCATGTGGAATTGTGAGCTAAGCTAAGTGGTACGTTACGGGGCCACTTCCTTTTGTCGGAGGGGGACCCTGTCAGGGGTCAGGGTTGGGAAGAGAGCAGGCGCCAGCATTGTGAGTGTGTGCGTAGGTGTGTGTCAATTCAGGGGCTGCATCCCTCCTGCATTTGAAGACTGCGACACAGTCAGCGGCGTCACTAGGCTGTCCCATTTTGAAGGATCCTTTCATCAACAAGAAACAATCCTTTCCTGGCCTGATTTATCCCAGCATTCATTACGCTTTGGTAGCACACCGTTTTTCAAACAGGTAATGGCACTGCTATGTGGCCAGATGTCTGCTATCAGGCTTCAACTCACCTGAACAGCTAATGGTACACATATTATACATGTAATACCAAGGGGCATTAAAACTTTCTCGTCATGTCCAACTTCAGCTCTGTTGCTAAGCAACAGCAATAAGGGTGGGACGAGCTGGTGATGTTGATCACAGGAAGACTATGTAGACCAGACCGTCTCATTTTGGTTAGGACTTCACAGTCTACCCGGCCCAAGAAGACCGCCTCCTTCATGGGCTGAATAGACCAAGGCCTCTAAAGGACGCAGCCCCTGAACTGAGACACCGTTTATGGCACCGTTGATTTTACCTGTGGTCTGTGCAACTATACGAAGCTCAATTACAGCAGAGCATTGCACACAATGGGACCCCCATTATCTGCAGACACATATTAAAGTCCAAATAAAAAAAGAAAACAAATAATTTTGCTACAAAAGTCCATCGTAGAGGTGCTTTCTAAAATCAATGCTTCAGTTTATTTTGTCATTGAAAGGCAGAAATGACCTTTTAGCCTCCAATCAGAGTCCATGTTTGCTTTTGTAAACAGACTCGCTCTGGTAACTAAGCTATTAAAGCAATAGACAGTGTTAGTGTTGAAGTTGAAGGACCTAATCATTCAGCATCTAAACTAACGGACATTGACAAGTGCTGTGGCTGTCAAGTTAACTGGCTCAATGACTGTTTAGAGCAAGTGCACATTTCCCCCTTGCAGTCGATGTTTTCTGCCTTGTTTAATAAGCCGAGCCACATGAACCAGACATGTGTCCATGCTTGTAGACAAATGGACAGTCTGCAGCAGAGCGCTAATACGTCCCACAGCTTCTGTCTGAGGCTAATGTAAAATAAAATGTTATTGTCTGTATAACCACAAATACAAATTCCTCCTTTTCAAGTGGACAAAGTATATGTAATTTGCAGTGTGCATCACTAGAGCGGCTAACCCACCTCACAGTATAATTCCAATGGGTGTAAATGGAAAGTTTTACTGTGATGATGATCTAAAGCCTTTGTCAAAGGATTTCCAGGAGAAGAACGCTGAAAACTGAAGTCACATTTAAATAACAAAAACATACTGTGCATCAAAAAACCTGCCATCTACTTATGATCCTGCAAAGCCAGCCCATGAGGTTAACTCTGCTAGAGCTATTGATGTCATTCTAAGTGACTGACTGCTCTGTGCTTTATTCAAGCATCAGCATTAAAAAATATATTAGACAATTCATTAGACAAATGCACCACTCACTAGGCCAGTTTTAGCTTCAAACTTTCAATTTGGAAATTCATCTAGAACAGTGCTTCAAAACTGTCGACTATGATCAATTTCGGAACAAGTTTTGAGAAAAGCATGGACCCCGAAGAGCCACAGCGATGCCAAATTGTGCATCCACACTTAGTTTGTTCATGAGTATTGAGCCATGTCACCATCTAAACTGCCCCCAAAAGTGTGTAGGTTGGTCCAGCTTCTATCTGGAGGGCTCATCTGACAGAGAATGTTTTCCAGATTAAAATCTCGAAGGGAATGTGTGTTTGCATGTCTTAGGCTGGCTTGGCAAGCCTGAGCTACTGGCTGCTTCTGTCCAAATCAGACTCACCCTTAAGTCGTCTATAGCTAACATGCCAAGAGAAATCCAGATCACAAAGCTACATGAAACTTGGCAGCGTTTATTAAAACTCAGTACTGATTATCTATTATGCTATTCACAGCAGAGAGTAGTTACGCATGAATTAAATCAAAACAGATGGTAACAAGGTCGTGTGCTCACTTACCTTCCTCGGGCCTCCTGACTTCATCTCGTACACATCGATGGTGTAATTAGTTCGTCGACCAAATGTGTCAAACTGGATGTTTCCTGTCATACCTTGTACTTGGACCTGTCGGGCACCAAGAAAACAACAATGACACCTGTTTATTACACACAGCAAGAGAGCAAACTCATCAAATGATCCTGATATATGGCAACCAATGTTCTACACAGTACAGTTTGTGTTCAAAACATATTTCCTTGTCTATTTGAGAGGAAAGCGCTTTGACAGGCAGGTTTGGATTGATTATAATGTCAGGTTTTGGACCAATCAGACCAACATGTAGGAGGAACTAATCTGTAAAACTGTTAAAAATATGGGAGAGAACATATTTCTAAACCAAGAGAAATGTTGCTTTCTATCTGCTGAGACAAGGAGATGATTATAGAGTGTAACCATGACGCCCACTTTCAGAACAGCTCTGGTTTCAGGATTAAATTTCTTATTCATATTCTCCATGAATATTTCATAAAATCCTCATAAAAGATTTTTAAGACTGATAACAGGCCGAGCAACTACGAATCATGACCATAAAACATTGATTCGGTGAACAAGTAGAATGGAAAAAAGGTGAAGGAACAAGACTGTGCACATAATTGTTTTAAGAGTGAAGGAACTATGCATCCCATAAAGCATTGCAAACCCACAAGCTGGCCCTCACCAATACTACTCTCCAGTAAATGACCTGTGAAATACTTTCTTCATCTCTAAATGTTACAAAAGGGACATCATGTTTGCTCTGTGGTTAAGGCAATGTAACACTGAACAATCGCATTGTAGCCAACATTATTTTCGTAGTTGTGGTAAAACATTTCTATGGTAACAGCGAGGTCCACCAATCAGAGATGTCGCTATTACACCTGAGGATTGTGGGTAGTGTAGTACTTCCTCACATTGCGAATAAACATTTTTTTTCTTAAAAAACCCAGTTGGTATCACACAGACTTTTGCATCTACAGGAGCATATGACATTCTTTCACAATCTCGTCGCTTGTGTTAAGTCGAAACCAGATATTTACAACATTGCAGCTGATTCCGGACCACGCTGTTATGCTCCATAGGCCGCAATGCCTGGCAATACAGGCATACTAGATCACAAAATACACAAATGATTTGCCCAACAATCTTTCAAGATTGAAAGAAGAAATAAAATAGACAATGAAAATGGTAGAGTAAGACAAAGATTTAACCACAGAGTAAACAAAAAATTCAAATCACAGATGTTTGCAGAGACAGCACATGCCCTCAGCCCTTACCATTTTGAGGGCTCTCTCTATGTCGATGCCTTGGCTCCAGGGCACGGCGGGATTGGCGAGGCAGTCGCCCGCACTCCCTCTGCGAGACACGTCCACTCGCTGCCGCCGAAGGTACCGGAAGGCCTCCACAATCACAAGGATGGCGTCGTGGGTCAGTGCTGATGTATACTGAAAAGCCACAAGAGACCAAAGTGATTTCACACAGAACATCATACTGCAATCACAGTAAGGTCATTATTTCCACGTAAGTAAGAAAATCAAAGTCTAGAGTAGTGATTGACATGAAAATTGTGCGAATATGAAGGCCGCCTCTATTCAAGGACAAGCAATGAAAAGTTATTTTAGCAACAGCTCACTGAAATGATATGGATTGACATATTTTCTCTGGTTTCAGCAGGATTACCATTTTAAAACCCAAAAGAAGAAAGGGAGAGAGAAAGGGGATCTTTGAAGATGTGAAATTAAAATGTAAGTGCAGAGTCGGTGCTACGCCTCACTGACCTTCAGCGGAGTGTTTTTGGCTTCTGGAAATTCTCTTTCATCCAGGCGCTCCCAGCGCTGGAGGAACTGTTGGACGATTACGCTGTCTGGGTTGATGATCTGGAAGCCTGTGATGTTGGCTCCACCAGAAAAAACCCGGTCCAGGCTCACGTTGGAAAACCCCTGAGAGCAAAAAGCAAAAGTGGTGGATAGTGTAACAAGGACTCATTAGTAGCAAAAAAAACTATTGAAAAAATGCTTGAGCTTGTGCATTGTGAGCTTATTTCTGAGCTGTGTTTTAATAAATGCACTCAATTGTAAATCTACCGTAAATACATAGTGAGGGACCGTAGTCTGGATGTTTGATTGAGAGTGTTGCATTTCTGTGCACAATAGTTAATGTTACATGCTCTCACCAAGTTGGCAAGGATGTAGTGGTATCCTCTGCTGTTCTTTCCCGAGATCACCACCTTCAAGTAGCAGGAGAAGACACACGTACATCTCAGAATGTTCAGACAGGCTGAGATTCAGACATGACAAAGACTTTTCATAACACACACACACTGTGACTGGTAGAAAGAAAGCAAATTCAAAAAGAAACACATTTAAAAGCTACATTTGCAGGGCAAGAGGGAGCGTGTGGCCACATTTGTGTGTTTTTTGTATGAGGCAAACTCACGAGAGGACAGAAACTGTGATGACAGTGCTTGTTCCTTTCCATTATCTTCAACATGTAAAATAAGGTCAAGGCTATGTCTCTCTCTCTCTCTCCCTCTCCCTCTCTTTCTCTCTCTCTCTCTCTCTCTCTCTGCAGCTGCCTGTGCTCCACACACACTCTGCCTCGTCCTGCTTCGTTTGTCTCAGTCGCACAAGAGACTTAATTAAAGCTAAAACGTTGTGCAGCACCTGTCTGCCTGCCTGCACATGCACTGCGAGCTGCACTCGCTGATTTCTTTTCAACATCTCCATCAGCCAAACCTCCCTCCCTCTCTGTCTCCACCTCTCTCTCACCATTTAACATGCAACCCTCCCGTCTTCTTTCCATCTCTGATTCTCTACTGCAGAGTACAGAGCTTCAAAAAGATACTGTGGGGGAGGATGGTTGTTTGTTTTTCCCCGTCTTTTCACTTTCCACACTCGCCCACAGTTTTGAGAAGCATGCTCAGGCTCTGAAATCATCTAAATGTTAAACATCCAGAGTGAAAGTGATATCACATCGAAGAGGTTTCATAAAGAACTTGAATAAAAAAGAAAGACTGACGTTCTTCTGTCAGGTCTGACATAATATGATCCTTCTTTCTTGACATGCACCCTCACACTTTTATTTACATCTGTACTCTTTGCTTACTGCTGCCTCAGTGTCTTGTGATTGTCCCCAGAGAGAGAACACCATTGATACTCCAACATTGGCCCTTTGACTCGCTTACACTCTGAGTTTTAACAATAAAGCCAATTGCCTTCCTTGGAAATGCAAAAATGCTTTTATTGTGCTCAGCATTTTGCCCACTCTGCTCCACCGACTTTGTTCATCATAAGCAAAAACAAAAACAAAAAAAATTCCTGGAAGCTCTTCTGCTTATTGTCTTCCACATTGTCTTGGAAAGCTTTTCATTTGCTATTCATCCATGTGAGAGGGAGCCGCACTGAACCAAAGAGCAACAGCACAGCGGGCACTTAATGAAGCTGCAGCTCCTGGAGTGACTGCCTACACCTTGTTTGTCAGCAGCACGCTCGGGCAGGAAGCTCCAGACGTCACACTCATCTATACGAGAATCTGACACCACAACTGCTGCTCTTTGACTGAAAACTCATTTAGCTGTGAGAAAATAATAACCATGTATAACTTACTGAAGCTAAGAGACACACAAACACAATAATAATGTGAGAGTGATTTTATTTTACTCTACTGGAAAGTAGTAGTTATAGTCAATCCAAACTGTCCCATTTTACTTAATTGTAACTTCGTGTTAATTGCCACAAGCTTCTGCAGTCATGATTCAAATATTTTAAAACGTTTTATTCCAGGAGATATATACTGTTGAGAAGAAGGTTGAAAATTGTTTCCACTCCTGATTAGAAGAAGAAACAAAGATTGTGTCACATTAACATGATAAAATGATATTATACAAGTGACAAGTGTTCCCTGCAAGAACTACCTCTTGAAATCAACCATGTAAAAGGGAAGGACAATTGTTATAGAAATAGTTATACACGTTTTTTTTGTGTGTGAAAAGTTAATTTACTTTGTGCTGCAGTAATTATTTTTTGTGACAAAGTGATTTTGTCTTTAAAAGAAAACTTATGAAAAGTGTACATTTGTCTGTTGCCCAGTGTGAATACTGGTTATTTAAATCAATGTTTTGAAGCCTGTTCAAGCATCTTGAGCCATTTTGTTGCTGTGAGCGACATTTACTTTTGTTTATAATGGGAGTCTGTTTTGTCACATGCAAACAAATCTGTTATACAGTATTTGTTGTATTTTAAAGGATTAGTGTGTAAGATTTATTATAAAATAATCCTAGTAATGTTTTCACTAGTGTGTTTCATCTAAATCGTACAAATTGTTATTTTCCTTAAATCCTGAATGGGCTTTTTATATTTAAATACTTTCTATTTACATCAGGAAAGAGTCCTCTCAGGCTCAGGCTACCATGTTTTTTTTTTACAATAGTCCAAACTGGACAAACTAAACACCTTTTGAGTTTTTATGACTGAAGGAGACCACAGGTTCTCCTTCATGTTTGGAAGGGGAGGGTGAGGTGAGGGGTTTTCAGCTGCAACATACAACTTCACCACGAGATGTCACAAAATTCTACACACTGAACCTTTAAGTGGGGAGGCGTTGTGGCCATGGAGATCACATGGAGATCAGAATCCAGGTCACATGTTCTCCAGCTCATCAGGAGCAATGAGATGCACATGGGACCTCCCTCAGCTGGTGGATGGGAGGGTATTTAAGGAGGTTTGGTTTCCTTGCTCAGTTGGTTGTTTGCTGTCAGAGGGTCAACACCTTCAGTTGCTTCTCTGAGTTTGTGTTGTTGGATTTGTATTGTTGGTGTTGCTCATTGTAAGAATTTGTCATGTGCCCATTTTTATTGCACACCCCTTTTCTGTGTGACTCCCACTAGCTTTTGGTATAGGTCCAATCTTTTTGATAGATTGAGTGGTAGTTGGGACCATTTGTTGGTTTTGTTGCAGTGTTAAATGTGTTGTTAGTTTCCACAACAGTGGCCCCTGTGTGAAATGCAAACACAAAATGTTTAGTTTCCACAGAAGAATTTTCTTTAAATTGAAGTTCAGATTTGAAGTATTGACAATGTATATTACAATAATTAAAGTTACCTCATTCCAGAATCTATTTTCCAATATTTTCAATATAATATATTAATTGATTTTAATTGATTTTACATTTCTTTGTTTCTTTGGACAAAAACACTAAAATAATGCATGAAAACACAGAAATTTAAACAAAGTTACATAAAAAGAAAAGTAAAATAAAGAACAACTAATGACTACAAGAAAATAACAAATGCAATGCTGCCTTTATACAACTAGATCAGACTGGGTGCAACACCCCCAGTAATGTGAGTGACAATGTCCACAGCCGTCATCATACTGACGACTGATTCAAATTTACATTGAACAAGCTCTTAAAAATGTTACAGATATTAAGGATGGTGAAATTTAAGGTTATTTAAACTAATGTTTCAACAAGATATAACAACAGAAAATGTGCTCTGCTATCAAATTATTATTACCTAAGGCAGTCAAGGTTTCCAGAGGAAATTAACAATATGATGAAAAATATTCCAAAAAAAATTTAAATCGTTGTTATGCATTTTGAAGTTGAGGAAAGTCATCATTTCATTAGATTTACTTATTACTTATGAGTCCCTCCAAAGTTGGCAGTGCTGTTCTGAGCAAATATTTTTAGGATCTTGATGCTCCAGTTTCATTGTCCCCTGAGAGAATCGCTTTTGAGTATGTGAAACCACCAGGAACCAGGAGGAGGTCAAGCACAGCCGTCACTGAGAGAACAACACCTGAGCACATCTCAAGACTCATCTCTTTCTCTCCATCAAAACCATTTCTCTTCAAACTGCTCAGGAAGGAGTAGACCTGTGAGAGGGAACCTGCACCACTGATTATATAAACAATATACTGATACTGACTAACCACAAAATTTGTTTTGCCTATTAAATTGAAATGACTCTGTGCTGTGCCCTGTTAACTGGTTTCTACGGTTAATGTTTTCATCTGGCAACAGTCCAATACCTTGCAGATTTGAGAATAAGGTCAAAACAAAGTCCTTATGGGTAAGTCTCTCCACTCGGCAGCCATCTTGGCCACGCTGATTCTTGGCTAACCAAACCAGGCCCCTCTCTAAACGGATGGGGAGAGAAAGCTATAACTGCTTCTTAATACTGCATGTTCAAAATCACGAATAAAGTCTGATAAAAAAAGCTTTGAAATGATTTTGTCCACAGGTTAAACTAAGCTCATCCTGCCACGTCAACCTCCACCGTGTGATGGCGTCAGTGCAGTTATTTAAGTTTCATCCTGTTCTTACAGAAAAACTAATTCAAACCGAAGTTACTTGAAAAATTAACCCTTGATCATACATTAGTGTGAAAAGAATTACCTAAAATAACCCAAAAATTGACTTGACATGCACTTTGACTTTTTATTTTGGCCCATCTCCCATCTGCTAACTGGTCTTTGGTGAGAGATACACATTTAAATCATAGCTTTTTGTTTCAAACAATACATTTTGGAAAATAATATTATCTACTGTGTTGCCAAGAAGGTAAATGTGAAGGTGGGTACCACTCTGACCTCAATCTGTTTCTTCAACATGAAGCGACAGCCAGGAGGTGATTAGTTTTGCTCTGGAATAATGACAGTCAACACCCACCATAACACTCACTGACATGTTACTGACCATGTTGTGTTTAATCTGTAGGAAAAACTAAATGGAAACACAGGTGGAGGCTTTAGGAGTGATAGTGTGCCAGACTATTTCTTGGCCAGGAGCTGTGAATTCCTGGATTCTGCAAAAACTTAAACAAGGCCCCAGAAAGCACTTGTTGTTTTTTCATTTTAAATCTTGTACAAATAAAGACATTTGTCTTTATGCTAAGCTAAGCTCACCGGCTTAAGACTATTTATGCATTCAGCACGCAGACTCCTGCCTCATCTGTACATTAGTATTCACCTCTATATCGAAGATATAATCTGAAATAACGGGGACAATCTGTGTGCTGGAGGAGACAAACTGTAACAGAGAGACAAAGAGAGAGGGAGAGCAGTTGTCTCAGGTTCCAATTATCTTTATTTGTCTATCCTCAGGACTCCTGTCGCCAGCCTGTCTGGATGATCAGGTCTGCGCTGTGCCGCTTGATGCCGGTGCGAGCGGGGGCCGAGCTGCAGGACGATCAGCCTAAATATTCCCACAGGAATAGACTCTAAT